TGTGTGTGTGTGTGTGTGTGTGTGTGTGTGTGTGTGTGTGTGTGTGTCTTCAGTTTTTTTTAAATGGGATTCAAATAGCTTTTTTTGTCCATTTTCAACTTGGGCCTTCTAATGGCTGCCAGTGTGTTATTACGACTCTCTACTTCATTTAGCTGAGATCACTCCCACGGCCCCTTTCCATCACATGTTCTCTTCGACAGAAAAATGTGCCCATAACACAGATCTCTTGTCCCCCCCCCTCCCCCCACCACTCAGTAACTACATCATGCCCAAGTAAGGGGGACAAAAACATGTGCTTCTAATCACAGCAACATGATCCAGTTTCTCCTGATTAATGTTATGTCCACTTTAAAACTAAAAAACCTTCTCAGTCCCCACACACCCACACACACACCCACACACACACCCACACCCACACACACACACACACACACACACACACACAGCTCTGTTCCTCTGCGGGTCTTAAAAATCCACATTTGTTTATAAATGTTCCTTCAATACTCATAATGTCTCCACGTTGACATCGAGGGAATGTGTTTGCTTTGAAACCAAAAGCTTTCAACTGCACTGTGAGATTTCTGCCTTTGACATGTCTGGTTCTGCTTAAACAGACTAAATACAGTTAAGATGGCAACCAGCTAAGCCTGGCTGCCATGGTCATGTTGCAAGCATGTCACCTGGCGTTCTGCTGGCGTTCATCAATGTTTTACACACGACGGTTCTATTCAGAATCTTCTGAAAAGAAAATCTGACTTTTTATTTCTATGAATGTTCACGTATTGAGGCAACACAACTATGTTTATTAGTCCTGAATGTTTTTATTTAGTTCATATCCTCTTAGTCGATTAGTAGGCGTTGTTTCATGCTGAATTACTTATTTCCAAGAAATGTATAAGCACATCTCTGGTGAACACAAGATTTAAACTGGTTCTTTTGTGCAATGTTAGCTTGGATTGAGCCCTTCATACCTACATGTGGGTCTTCTCCACGGAGCCCGCCGGGTTTCAACAGTAGCCCAGAATAGGCAAACCAAACACTGGCGCTAGCAAGAGCCTTTAGCAATTCTACATCACCTGAAAGCCACGTTAGTTCTCCCACATGCTTGGAAAGGGAAGCGTGAGTGGAGGGGTATTCAGATACAATCTGCCAGCTCACCACTAGATGCCTCTGAATCCTAAACACTGCTCACGACTGTCAGTCGACTGTCAGTCGTGGCTGACACTTCAGGGTGTACAGCTGCTGACTTTTCAGATTAAAGTTCATGTTCAACAACCGACGTGTAGCAACAATAAAAGGCACTCAAACTCAATGACATGAGACCAGTGTGGTAAATGGGCTAAAACTGCAAGCAAAACAAAAACATGGAGGAAAAAAAAAGACATTTTAGTGCATTATGCTCCTGTTCAGACTCAACTCCCACATTCATGTTTTTCTTTTCTTAAAATAGAGAGATGTCTCTACTAACCTTTAGATTTAATACATTTAGTAGAAGCCAGTGAGGGAAACACACAAAAAGGCCCATATTTGTTGGGCAGCAAACCTGAACACCGGACATGCTGCACACAAGTTAACAGAGCATACAAAAAGTCTTGATGTGTTTCAACTAAAACGGTTGATCATTACTCACTTATTCCCTTTGTCTTAGGGGCGATCTTCTCAATGTCTTTCAGCTGAAACACATCTTTCTACAAAGAGAATAGGAGAACACATTAAAAATATATATTTTTGTCTTTATCATAGTACAGAAATAAACTATTTAACTTATCTCTAATCATATCTGTAAGCCTGTAATGGAATGCCTTTCCAAGTATTTTTTTATTCATTACCAACCTAAAATAAATAGTGCATTTCTGTACTTTTTAATTTTTGCCTGATTTTATCTAATTTTAGTGACACTTAGTGAGCACTTTTTAACTTAGTTGTATTACTAATATGTTGTTAATTGATCAAAATGATTCTCTCAAGCATCAAGTCATTACAGGTATGTTTATGTTTTAGTAGTTGTTTCTATGTTGGCTTTTGTCTCCCTCACAAAAAGAGGGCTGCCCAATATAATATAAATATATATAATATATCATTCAATATTAGTGACATTAAAATCAATGCTCTTTTTTTTCAAAGAAAATAAAATGCATAACAATACCGACAAGTGGGTACATTCATTAGCTTTTGAACCACAGTCACAGTGTAACCGACACAGCACAGAGGGGACATTGAGGCCTAACATTATGGTTTATATGGTTATTTTTATTGTGGTTCCTACTTCAAACCTTCAGCTGGTCTCCTGCAGAGGGAAAACTCACCGTTTCAAAGAAAATCTCCATCATGCGAGTTCTCTTCTCCTCCAAACTAAGTCCTTTCTTCTTTGACTGTAACAGATTTAAAGTAACATAAGGCCTGGTTAATGCCACTATATCACACAGCAATATAAACATGTGCACGTGGCAGTAAACACTGTGTGAGGGGTTGATTTTCCTAGATTTGCACGTCTGTGCTTCTACCTCATTGTTGTTGTAATACAGCTTCCGGCCACCAGAGACAGCACTGAACAACAATGTACTCGGCGAGGAAAATATTACATATATTGTATTGTTATCGATACAGATCCTGAATTACGGTCAATATTGTCCACGTGGCACGTCAGTGTATAACTCTAAATATCAACTTGGTGACGTTATTTACGGTTAGCAGCTAACTGACGCTAGCATTAGCTTGGAGCTAGCTTGGTAATGCTAGGTTGTCTGTGAGAGCACTATCACATCAACAGCGGGTAAAGGTGAACGTCTGCTTACCATTGTATTGCGTTGGCTGTGCCAGCAACGTCCACTGGCATGAATGGTTTGCTTTACAATATGTTTTGTAGCGCTGTTATGTTTGTAATCCAAATAGGAAAGAAATAATTCGTCCAGTACTGAAATTCCCGCGGAAGACTGTCACGGGGCTTTTGCTGCCTTCAGTGATCCTCGTAAACTCCACAGCTCTCGTGTTGAGTATGGGAATGTAAGTTTATAACGAACATATTTTGCCACGGTGAATGTGCTCAGTTTAAATATTTTAAAAGCTAATAAGAACATATATTATTTGTGCTGAAATGTTCTGTAAGAGGGCAAAACAGTCACGTTTGCCATCGTTAGTGTCGTGTTCGCTCGAGTCGCCATAATTTCCGACTGCAAATTAAGGCAGCATTACTTTAAGGGGGAGGAGCGATGTTTGAGGTCACGTCACGATTTTCTGATGCCCTCTGCTGTCTAATAAAAACATTGTTTAAATAGGGACATGACATAACAAAAACCTTATTATCGTATTCATTCAAACGTTATTCATTCAGTAGGTCTGCTGTTTTACTGGGAGACATTAGTGTTCTGTGATGACTTTTTTTATCTGCAATTATTTTGAAAATACTGATTAATCATCACTGCAGGGAGAAATACCAGAACATGCACGTTGCATTTCTGATGATTAATGTCCGTTATTTAAAAAAAAAAAAAAAAAAAAAAAGCAGCTTGATATCATCTTAACCAACGCAGTGTTTTCAGCAGCTATGCAAGCTAATAATGAATGCATCTTATTACAAGATGCAGTAAGTACACAACAAAATCAACTACAATCACAATAGTCTTTCCTATGGGCACTTTAATTCCATTTGGCATTACAAATATAAACAAAACAATGTAAAACCAATCATTAAACAGGATTGTGTAGAAAATGGATGACCAAATTCAGTACTTTAGGATAAACACATTTTGAATTCCAACAGGAGCACAGTGCATTTTTTACAACACACACCTCAACTGTTGAACTACATTTTGCATTTTTTGAGGATAGACAAATAGTTTGTTTTTTCACTGAAATACAACTTGTTAGTAGTTTTAATTTTATGTTGAAAAGACATACGAGCGTGTGGAAAGGGGTGAAGGTGATAATGGAATAAACCTGCATTGCAGCATGATGAACAAACCTTTTCACTGATGTGTCCGACGATTGACTTTATTTTCAGCATTTCTGCTGTCGAGATGTTTGCACATAATCACACCAAATTTTTAAGTCAACATATCAAGTGGCTTTTGTTTGGTTCCCTTAATTGAGCACAACACAATCACACTCGTCTTGCACACACAAACGCACTGTGTGGTTTTAGAAAAAAACAATTAAGCAGACGTTATCAGCTTACTTTATATAACCACAAGTTTATTAATTTAAATTGATGACGAATTACATCGACCAGTCATTTTCACATAGTAGATCGAAGTATTTTAATTGAAACAGTTCTTCCATTCAAAGTTTCTTTAAGTGATTTTGTCAGCTTAAAACATATTCATATATTGTGCACAGCAGTATTTCTGGTATTTATTAGTAAAAACAACATGCATAGAGATGCCTAATCATGCTCTACAATACCCTGCTACCTATAGTGGGTGGAATATTTTTCTTTTATAGTGAACAGGCAAAATGTGACGACTCTCAAGAGCATTTAACAGGAAGCTGCAGTCACTGGAACTAGAATTCCCGTTAATTTTCAGGTGACTTAGATACGTCTTTACTTAAATTTCAGTCTCACTTAACAGTGTCCAACCGGGGATTTTTTAGGAACAAGTGCAATAGCTTTGTTTTTTCCAGTTTTCCTGCCACATCACAGCAATTAAAAAGGTCTAACATATGTACAATACTAAAGCTTTATTTTTTTTTAAATCAGTGTAATTAAGATGGAATGTGAACAAGGTTATGAATGACCCCTCAAAGCACCAGTCAGCAGCCTCCATCTGTGAATATGATAGATCCCTTCACTTCATTCAAACCACAAATAATTATCTCTAACACAATCACACAGATGGCACATAGACAGCATGATTCAAGGGTGAGTGGGTGGGTGAGTGCAAATCTGCCGGTCGCTCCATACTAACGAGTGCGTGTGTGTGTGTCTATACACTGTACAGTTTGTGCGCTGAGAGAGACAAGGGCTACTGCAAGTAGCGGTAGACTTTGAAGCAATGGTTGCCAGAATCTGCAACCACAACATGTCCGTCGGAGGTGAGAGCCAGACCCTGCGGGCCGTACAGCGGGTCTGCTGATGTGTTGATGTAGGACAGGAACGAACCGCTGCCATCAAACACCTGAGAGAGAGAGAGAGAGAGAGATATCTCTTTTTAATTTAATTATATACAAAAAATAGAAGTGCATCGACTTCCATGTTGTTGCCAATCATTGGCATATTCTAGGCTGTGAACACATTTTTTTAAAAATAAATTTATTTTTTATATTTACACATACATACATACATGCATACATACATACATACATACATACATTATGATCAGGACTGAAGTTAGTTAAAAGATGAAACTAAGTGAAAGTAGAAAACAATATATAACTTAATGGTAGTTTTTTTTAAAGTAATTTTTGTCCTCTATGGACATCAGAGCAACTTTTTAAAAGGCACAAGAGTTAAATAATAACTAAATTCAAATGATATTTGTATGACATCACATTACACATGACGGTCTGCACAGTGTAGAAATCAGCCATAAAGACGCATACTGAAATCCAAACAACTGTGAATGCAGCAGGGAGGAAAAGTCTACCTCTGCTTTTCTCAATATTTCTTCAGGCGAGACCTTTTGCACTGACCTGTATCCGGCTGTTGCCCCAGTCGGCCACTATGATGTTTCCATTGACATCCACTGCCACTCCCGTGGGGGCGTTGAACTGGCCGTTGCCCTCGCCGTTCGAACCAAACTTCAGCAAGAATTCCCCTTCTGTGTTGAACACCTAGATTTTGGTTTTCCAAAAAAAAAAAAAAAAAAAAAAAAATAAAAAAATAGTGATACATCAACTAAATAATTGTGTTGATAATATTTTGATCAGACACTTAGAGGGAAAAAAAAAAAACTAAGAATTTACAGTAGAAGAGGAAAGTCTGAAAAGTATCATACAAGCCACCATTTCTAGTACTACAGTATGAACTAATCATCGTCTTTGCGTACTGTAACACACTTCCACCGCTCTGATATTGCACTCACCTTGACTGAGTGGTTGTGGAAATCTGTCACAATTATTTCATTGTTGTTGTTGACAGCAGCAAAGTGAGGCCCTTAAAAATAACAGATGGCAAAGTCTCAGATTTGTGCCGTTTGTCCAAATCAAACAGGCAGTTCGGTTTCGGAAATAACCTCGCAGTGAATGAATTTTGTTTTTGACATGCAAATGAATTATTTCCCATTTAATGATAAAACAAGACTAAAAATATTTTGTACCATGATCAATGTTAGAACATGCTTTTTTTGAGTACAGTTGAGTTATTACTATATTAAAGTCTGTTATATGTTTTTAAGTAAAACCCCTCAGAAGTCAAAGGATAATGGGAACTTTATGGTTCCTGGTTCAGCATTCGTCTTCATTCCACATGCAGGTGTGAGCTGGTTGGAGTGAGACTGCAGCGGGGGAAGTGCACATATTACCATTGAGTGTACCTGCAAACTGCCTGTCGCCGTTGCCTCTGTTACCGAACTTGGTGACCAGCTTGCCGTTGAGCTGGAAGATGAAGACGCAGCAGGCCTTGTTGTCCACCACGATGATGTGGCCGTTTCTGTCCACCGACACGCCTTTAGGGCCCATCAGCTTCCCCGAGCCAATCTTGTTCTGGGGAAGTCGCGGATTTTACATTTCTGTTACAAGTTTTTTCTAATTCACATAGTTCATGGTGGGAAGCTCAGGGAGTATGATCGGAGTAAATGAGTATGTATTTTAAATCCCAGTTTGTTTTACATGTAGTTAAGAGTTGTTAGTCTTTCATTATTTGCTTATAAAAAAAAAATAAATAAATAAAAAAAAAGTACAGGTTTGTATGTGTATACTTTAACGGAGTGCAAAATGAGATATCCCACGAATATATACACAGACTACAGATAAACAGTGGCTTCATTCACTGAATAAACCACAGGCTGACCTAAATGGAGCATGGCAGTGTTTTACATGTTGTTATTTAAACCCGGCAGTGACTAGAAGTAGGAAAATGAGACAATTTTCAAGATTCTATCCAAAGCACAAGACTAGAACGGTTGATTTTCTCTATTAAATCTGCACTTTCTTTAGCATTTATGAAATAGACTAAAGAGGGAAGTGAAAATGTGCATGTCATTGTCACAGGTGTGAAAATTGCAAATGGGGGCCATTTGAATCATAAAAAACAACAACATCTCATTCAAAAGAGTTCATCATTTCTAAAAAGGTAGAGGGGGTGTCGAAGGGACGATATAATATTTAATACCAGTATTTATGGCAGCAAACACTGTGGTAATATCCCATTGCTATTGTTGTCCCTTTGGTAAAACAGCAACATGGTGGTGAGGGGTGCACAGACAGATCAAGCTTTGATACTTTGCTTTTCTAACTATACATCAGATATTATAACACTTTGTCCTATCGACAGTCTTAGTATCAAATGAAGATGAAACATTCAATCCCGACTTACCTTGAACTTGCCTTCACTTGAAAAGATGCTGACCCACTTGTTGTCGTAGTCGGCAATGATGATGTCACCGTTTGGGTGGATGGCCACTCCGGTCGGCCGCTGCAGCTGACCCGGAGTCCTGCCGCGCACGCCAAAACGACTTTTGAACTGGCCGTCGTTGGAGAAAACCTGCATCACACAAAACATGTTAAAGATGTTGAAATAAAAACAAGAGATTTTAAAATGCATCCGTTTGGTGTTTATTGTTTTAAAACCAACAAGGCTCTACAAAAGACCTACTACAGTTTATGTCCAGAGAGATGGCAAAGTGCATAGGAAGCACTGAGTAAGGTAACTGAGCACAAGTTATAGTGCTCCACTATACATACACCATGCTGCTGTATCTGTAGGCTGAGAGCAGCTGCAGCACAGTTATTTGTACCTGGACACACTGGTTGTTGCTGTCGGCTATCAGCACCTTTCCCAGAGAAGAGGTAGCCACTCCCTGCAGGTTAGTGAACTCCCCTTTGTTTCTTCCTTTTGTGCCTTAAAAAAAAAACATGAAATATATTAGTGGACTTACGGTAAATCACAGACTAGAATGTATTCATGAACTTAATCAAGGTGCAATGTTTTAACCGATATGAATTTGTGCATACATGTCGATTTTACAGTGTTTGTATTGGCGTTTAGGTGAGACTGTATGTTTGCAGTTATTTAAATTGTTGGATATCTCTTGACACTGTATATACTGTTTAAGCTGTTCGTTCCTTTATTAGACTGAAGATGTGACTTGTTGGTTTCGAACTTAATGTCAAGCTATTAAAAATGTAGCTTTAGTTAAGTTACTCGCATGATGCAACAGTAAGTAAAGAGACAAAGGTGACAAAAGGCTTCATTTTTACACAAGCATCTTTTAGTAAACTGCCTCTGTCATGCCTCTTGTCTGTTTCTGTCAAACCTGCGTTTAAAAGGCCATGAAAAACATTGATTTATTACTGAAAAAGTGTGTAGTGAAAAGCTGCAACCTTTTTATCTTTTTGTAAAGTCTACAAAATAGACCAAGAGTCCAGAAGATTATAAATTTACAATGATGGAAGCCAGTTAATCCTCACATTTTAGAAGCTAGACTCAATAACAAGATTGCTAAATTTGGCAAAACTGTTTAAGGGCATGGTTTGATATTATTTTAAGAATTTTAAAACACACACATACAATATACGAGTCCATATTTGACATTAAATATTTCTTACCGATTCTGAAGATGAGGTCGTCCTCGATGGGGTTCTCTTTCCTCCTCCCTGTGCTGTACATGCTGGCCGGCCTCTTGATGGCCTTCTGCTTGACGTGTCCACTGCCCGGAGACTTCAGCCTCTTCTTGACGCCGTCTGAAGTTGACGACACATCGATGGATTTGGTGGCCTTTATCTTAAAGGGGCTTCCTTTGATATGTTGGTCATATAAACGCAGCGATAAGTTAAAAGTCCCCTCTTTAGGAGCCGTGAACAGGTACTCGTAAGTGCCATTCTTGTTGTCCAGTATGTCCCCTTCACCTTTGCTACCATCAGGTGAGGACAATTCGGCGGTGATGACTGCGTTGCCCATTTTGCACAGCTCTCCGTCTTTGTCCTTGGTGGTTATGGTGATGGAGGTGGGGACGCCCACCACGCATTGTCGTAAGCCTTCGCCTGTCGCCACGGTCTCAGAGGCCACTGCGTTAGTCGTTAGAATAGTGCCCAGGTTGTGGATGGACTTCTTCAGTCCCTCCGTCTCCACGTTGAAGTCCAGCTGGTCGTTCTCTCCCGGCTGCAGAGGAAGCTCCTGGCTGGCCAGCTCCTTGAGACGCTCGCTCATCTGCTTCTTCACCAGCAGCACCTCGGCCTCGGTGCCGTGGCTCAGGGCCTGCTCTGTGAAGTTACAGCTGCTGTTGATGCCCTCCTGGCCCTGCAGCAGAGTATCCAGCTGGGTTTGCAGCACCTAATACACACATACACACACCAGGGGGCAGTGTTAACTTCTGGTTAGAGACACTGACAAAAAGCACCTCTACATACAGGCAAATCAAGTACAGACGGTAAGTGAAAACAGGCAGATCAACAACTGCGTAAAAACAAAGCATACTGCATGACTTGGCACCATTACAGAAGGAGGGATCTGAGCTCATTTGGTTTTATGTTGGCGTAAACACAACTTCATGCGATTCTGCACAACTTTCAGACGCAGCAGCTGCCCATGAAGACAGATGAATATCAGATATTATTATGCCATCCTGTGTTGACTTGTAGAGATTTGACTGTGAAATTATTGTTAGTTACCAGTGTAGTAGACACATTAACCAATGCACAAAGTGACTTATTCATTAATGATCCATTTAGTGTCAACTAATCACACAAACTCATAGTTAAATCACCAATTTATAACATTTGGAAGTGTTACCATTGTAGCTAACAATGAGCTAATACAAGTCACATTTAGATCATTAAATCTCTCAGTATGTCACACTTCTGGTATTCTTTGTTACTAATGCTTTTTAAGCAGATTATCACTGTTCCCCCTCATTACTGGGACATCACCACGCCCTCTTTAAAGCACCAAAACACACTCACCCTCATCTGACCATCCCACTCCTCTTCTTCTCCAACAAGAGAGGCCATTAAACCATTTATCCCTGGAGTCAAAGATTTCCCCTTCACCTATCTCGTTCTCTTTACACTCTGAAGCTGTGAAAACTGGCAGACTGTCCGTCCATACTGTGATAATAGAGCTCAAGCTTCAGAGGAAGAGGAGTATAGAGGGTTTCCCATGAAGAGCAGAGCTGTATGCGGTTTCCTCGCTTCACATGACACACCCAGAGCGTGCATACAGCACACTGGCTCCATCTAGCTACCAACCACAACACAGCTGAAAGTCACATATCCGACTTTCCCTTGGGCTCCAGTGCTTTAGCTGCGCACCAGCCCGTGAATTGGAAATCATTAGCAAACCATGTGATGGAGCTGTGATTGGGGGGGGCAGCAGCAGGCTCCTGACCAGGCTGGGTGATTAGTTTGTCTGGATGGGGGTGGTGCACCAGCTCCCCCGGCCCCCCTACTGCCTATCAGACCGGCTACTGATCAGCAAAACCAGCCTGATGAGTAGCCTGTAACGGGTTAAAAGCTTTCCAAAAATGGATTATAATCAGGTTAATGGTCATTTCTTTCTGTATTATTTCCTTTTGTTATATATTCAAAAACCTCTTTATGAGAATAAGAGGTCGATAGTGACCGAATAGTGCTTTACGCCAAATAGAAAACTCAAACACTTATCATTATAGGGACCAAAGTCTAAACCAAACACTCTGCATGTGTCAGCCGAATTACTTAGTTTCAGGCCGCGTCACCTCACCTTCTGCTTGAGGCCGTAGTTGACCTCCAGCTCCATCAGTAAAACGCTCTTGCGGACATTCAGGGTCTTCTGCAACTCGTCAAAGGTGGTATGGATGCCGTCCTCAATGGAGCCCTTTTGATTGGTCAGCTGCAGCAAGATCTCTGACAGCGTCTGCAGGGCTGAGTCAATCTCTGGCAACCTGGGAGGAACGAGGAGGCATTTTTCACATACTGAATCAACAGTCACATGACAGAGCATGCACATAAAAGAGGACAGTGTTTGTTACGATGGCTGTTACTTGGGTGTAATGTGAATTAAGTCCGTTCTGCACTAGGAAGTCGACATAATGCTGCTGTTGTACCTCTTCTTGACAGCGTCTAGCTGGACCTGTAACGAGGCCTTGTGTTGCTCCACGACGTCTTTAAGAGGCACAGTAGGGTGTTCTCCATGTTCACCACTCGTACACTCCTGACACATGGCCGTCTCACAGGGCGGACAGTAAAACTCCATGACCTAAGCAATATAACAAATGAAAGATTAGACTTAAATATTGGGTTGAGGCTGATGCCAACATTGGTCGGTCTACCACTCTGGTCCAGACTGAATTATCTTAACAACCACTGGATGGCTTCGGGTTATGCAGTGTTTGTGCGTTTAAACTAACGTCCAGCCATGTTCTGCGAATACCCAAAAGCCTATGAACATGTATACTTGACAAACAACAACTGGATGTTCAGATGTGATGACTGTGTACGAGTCTTACGTTGCCTCCATGGTTGGGGCAGGAGAGCAGTTGGCCTGTAGCCACAGCGGTGATGTTGTTGAGAGCGGCGGCCTCCTGGCTGCGGCTGTCCGGCGCCCGCTGCAACACGTCCATCAGGTTGGTGATGAAGAAGTTATTCTGCAATGCCGCCACACCCTTCTCCGGCAGGATCGAGGTCTGGCGGCACACGGGGCACGACAGTGTGAGGCTGTGGGCCGGGATGTAATTCTGCAGGCACCTGGAGGAGGAGGAGAACGGGGGGGATTATTAGAGTGGGAGCATCCTGTAGAAATTTATGTGAAAGAAACAGCCTGGAGAAAGGCGTGGGAGGTGTAAAGTAGTGCGTGTGTGTAATAAGGCCTTTCTGACATTTAGGATTAAATGTTAGATTACATTTATGCTTTTAGGTGCTCTTGGATCTCTTTTGCAATTATTAAAAATTATTGTTGAATATAGTTTTTAGGTTGCTGCTATCAGGCAGAGAAAAATCAATCGAAGCCAAGGACGGAAAAAGAAAAAATAGATACAATTTTGAATTTAACTTCACAACAAATGTTCTCTGTTCGGATCCAAAGAATTAAATGTGAGGTATTTAATATAACCATTTTCCGCTTAACACTTCCGAAAAGTAAAATGATACTATAGAAATATATGTGTGAAACAGATATAGCAGAAGAGAAACAGTTTTATCGTTCAATCCGACAGCTCAATGGCTCTCCAGAAGCAGCCAGAGTAAAAGAGACAGTCCACAGTTTCTCTTTTGTGTCAGAAACAAAAGGCCGGTTGTCAGAGAGCATGGCACCAACACACCCAAGTTAACAGCAGAGATGCGCGTCATGTGAAACAATACTCAAATTTACAAAAGCATTAGACTATTGATTGAGTATTATTGTTGCATCTACTACCAGCAGCATCCCTTTCTCGCAGAAAACATGCTAATCGTACTTTTGAGTTTGAGACCTGATCAAGTTACACATCATTCACGGGATTAAAACAAATACATTTCCACTTAAAAACATCATGGTAACTCTACTCACCTCTCACAGAAGGTGTGCAGGCAGGGCAGTACTTTGGGGTTTTCGTAGCGGTCCAGACATATGCTGCAGATCAAGAACTGCTTGTCAATCTGGCGGACCACGGGGCTGGGAAGAGTGGCGCCTTCAGTGGCCATCCTAAAACTCTGACATAGGAGTCCCTCTTCCTCTTACCCAGCACCCTGCAGAGAGAAACAGAGGGAGGATGAGACAAAGCGAGGACACAGCCACAAGACCCGACGTATGATCAAACGGGCAGGGGCGAGCCGTGGAGGAGAGTGGAAATCTGTGTGGTTGTAAAGATCAAAGTTAGAAGCAACACGCCTTCCTCCCTCCGTCCCCTCACCGAGAGAGGAAATGCCAAACGCACAAACAGACGCACCGATCAGCGCCTGCGACTACAGGCTTCAACTCAAACTCATAAACGCAGACGTATTAAAGTTAGAGACAGTGAAAACAACCCTTCAAAACCAACTGCTATGTTTTATTTACAGACTATATTTTACCCTCATCAGTCAGCCTGGGAATAGATACAACATCGGAGAGGTTGTGAAGAGAGTGACAGGTCAAAACTTTGAGATTGAAAGTCCATTCTTGATCTTTGGAAACAATAATCTCACCCCAAAGTCTTTTTAGTAGCCGTCACTCAATCTTTACTCGGCAGACGGATTTCCATTCCTCTGAAGACTTTAAAAGGACAGACTGCTATGTCCAGTGTGTCCAGAGATGGAGCTCTTTTGACAGAGGATAAAAGGTTGTTCCCAAACTTCTTGGCTCATGGTGATTTCACTAAAACTGGTACTCTCGCTATCATGAACTTTTAATCCATTGAGAACTTCCCCAGAGGCTTAAAAAGATGTCTTTACTAGCCTGACGTCATCCCGACTCTACAGCTGTACCAATATCCAAAACCTGAAAACCTTTTTTGGCTTAGTGATTGGCTACCATTTTATGCCTTTATCTAATAGTGGAGGTGGAGAAAGACATGATATGTGGAGAGAGAGAGAGAGAGAGAGAGTAGGGGAAGGACTCTCTGCTCAGGCCTGTTTGGCCCATGCTGTATGAGCCCGCACCACTCGGCTAGCGGTTCGCTCCTGACCAACAATCTTTCACTCTCGTATCCAGTTAAAAAGGTTAATATATTGCCACCGTACAGCACATAAACAACAAAATCCAGTTGTAGTCCCCTTATGCTCCACAAGAAAAACAAAACTATTTTATGATGGAGTGTGGAGGATGAAGTGGAGTGGAGGAGTCTCGCAGCCTGAGGAAATTCTAAATCGTTGTTAGAGGCCTAAAGAGGTAAAACCGTCCTACATGATAAGAGGAAAGTCTGTGAAAATAAACATGGCAGGATTTATCTCGCTTGGCTCTCGACCCCGATGTCGGGAACAAGCACAGTAGCAGACAGTCGGAGTAAATCAGAGCTGCAGCTGTGGCTGGATGCTCCTCATGAAAAAGGCACTTTGAGTGATAAATATTTGATTATAAAGTGAAAGCCCGGCACTCTGTGTTCAGCACTCATCAGTGAGAGGTGGAACACTTAACCTACTAAACTAAACACTTTAATACCACCATACAGCACCATACTAACTCGCTCTCCGGTTTTATCTGGAACATCCATTTAATGGCTCCTATATTTCAATGTCGGACATTTCTGCAACGTTCTCTGGCAGCCAACTTAGACACAGAAAGTGTCAGTGCTTTTATTGTCTCTTCGCATTCAAGACAGGCACAGAAACAGGCCACCTCTGCTGCTGAGAGGAAAGCCCTCAGGGACTGAACTTCTACGGTGCATGCCCTCACTCTCTTTTCTTAAAATCTCTTTTATACAAGCATCCTCCTCTCTTTCACCCTCTCTGAAAGCAGATACGAGAGCGTCCAACTGCAAGGTTGTCATTTGGTAAGCCTGAAATTAGAGCGGTGGATAAAATTACTGTCATAATGAAGCTTTGATGCCGTCAGCGGGTCAATTACCAACGTTTCCAATACGTCACATGGCTGGTATGTAATGTGTTTGCTGCTGCCAGCTGATGAATAGTTATGTGTCGAGCAGCTCAGGTCCGCTTCATAAAGCTGGAGAAGCAGAAACAAGTTGCTGTAGTGGCAGAGTAATGAGTTCAACAAAACCCCAACAATCACAATCTAGCCTTACATTTGAGCAGCACAGGGCTAAACACCACATTCATAAATGCGTCATAAATGAGAGATTTGAGTGACAAGATGTAGCTGTACGTCATGCACAAGCACAGGTCTCAGGCTGCATGTCAATAATTCACCAGCTCCACGGGGCCAGATTAAGCAGATCAACAAAGCATCAAATACGACACCGATTATAAAAGTGAAATGAACAAATCCTGCAGACAGCCACAACAGAAGCAGCCCGGTGCTGACGGTGCTGACGGTGCACAGGGGCTGCAGGCAGCCTCACAACGCTCTGCTCTTACATAATCAGAGCCGCTCCAGCTCAGCGGAGCGATTTCTGCTGGATGGAGCTGTCATCCAACACGCAGCGAAGGGCAGACGTGAAACAGGCAAATTCTGACTGGAATTGTATCCGTTTAGCATGAAATGACTCCAAGAGAAAATAAGTTATAACCATGCAAGGATTTTAGCTTGAAACACCAGATATTCCAAATATTTGGCTCATAACAGTATTAATTAAGACTTACAGTGCTGCATCTATAGGCCGATCAACAGGCGTCATCCACTCCAGTACGCAGACTGAACCATTGGCTCCATGTGACTGAAACACGCGCAAAAACCCTTTGAAACGATGCTCTGCTCCAGGTAGCAGCAACGAGCCAAACAGGAGACAGCAGGATGTGTGTGTGAGAGAGACGGCTCCTCGGTGTGTGTGTGTGGGTGGGGGGGGGGGGGTGTGCACACACGTGAGAGAAGTTGAGGAGAGGCGATTTTTTTAGCCAGATTGTGTTGTCAGTTTTTACATCATCTCTTCCAACCCCTCCCTCCTTTACTCTCCCGTCATTCTTGGCTCAGTCAGCCTCATCTCATCCATTCATCTCCCTCCCTGCCGGTCTGAAATAAATGCTGGCTCACTGCAGTGCAGCGAGCACGTGCAGCATCAGGAGTGTGCGAGCGAGTGCTGGCTGACGGATGGTGAGCTAGCGAATGGGGGGAAAAAAAAAAAAAAAAAAAAAAAAAAAAAAAAGGGGAAAAAGATGGGTCCCCGTCACGACCAATATAGTTAAAGCCAAAGGGATCTTTCTTTCTGAGTGCATGTTTGTGTGTGTGTGTGCGTGTGTGTGCGCGCGCATAATGCTGACTCAGTGTACTTGCAGTGACAGAGCAAAAGAAAAAAAAAAAAAACACAAAATATGGAAAGCCAGAGGCTGAATTTGAAAGATTAAATAGAAGCATGATTACAAAGTATAAGGTAATAAAGGAAGATCTGCAAAAACCAGAGGCACTCTAATATGTGCTTGCGCACTCACACACACACACACCTTTCACCATGTCACTGTGATATATCATATAGTCTAGTCTAGTCTTAACAATATAGCACGTTGTTAGTCCTTAATGGGGAGAATCTATTTAAGACATGAATGGCTTCAATAGTTAGACATTTCCAAAAACTAAAAACAAATTTTAATTATACATTTAGATCAAGAACAATCTGCTCAGAATCTTAAGTGGTTTTGAGGAAATAAAATAAAACGTATAACCGGGATTTCTGCTGTTCGTTGGTATTTCCTTCATGAGTAACACCAATGACCTCCTGACATTGTGATATAATGGCATTAAATAGGGTTTTTGTCCCACTAGTTTCTGTTTGTTGTTGCTTGATTTAAATGATCTTATCTTTTCATAATGCTGAGTAAACGTTCTTCTCCATCCATCAGCGAATAACACAGGGGGAGTACTCTGATTATTTTGAAGCGTTTATACCTTTTCCATTTAAAAAAAAATAACCTCAGTTGGTCTTGACAGAGTTTTTTTTCACACATTTCATTATGCCTGGCAGCTTCGAGGCTGTTCCAGTGATCTCATGTCACCGCCTGCCAAACTCAGAGAGTCAGTCAGAGGAGAGGGACACAAAACAACCTTATGAACAAAAAACTAAAAAAAGATTGCTTCAAAGTCCACAGGATGCTCCACAGGACACCTTTAATGAAAGGTTACAGAGGCTGCCTTTAATTTGAATAATGCAAAGAACAGAGCAACCAGCTTCTGTGACAAACACTTCTTCATGACGTTGTTTGTGATTGGTTAAAGGCACAGTCTGTAATCTGAATGTGAACTAAATTCCACCAAAAGACATCAAAACACAGGACTGGAAGCTGCTTTGACTTCCAAAAGTTGTAGCAGCTAAATCACAGATATTAATACTTTCTGATGCTGTTGAAGGTTTTATTTCTTCAACAGTGTTTACAAAATAAAATCTCTTTTCCTGCTTTGTTTATATTAAGTTATTGTCAGTTAAGAAACAAACTGCTGATTCAGTACTTCATTGATTCAGTTCACATGCTGCTTCACTCATGTATATAAATGCAATTAAACCAAGCTAAGGGGTCTGTATGAGGGGCACACACACACATTAACACACTCTGAAGAGTAAACGCGTCACTGTGTTGCTTCATTGTTCACACCGACATCATCACTGATGCATGAAGACACTTCAAAGACTGCAGCAAAAACAGCATTTCCAACTGACTTAGTCGCTGTAATAGAAGAAAAACAAACGGCTCTCTCCACTCAACTTCCAACAAAGCAAACACACTGTCAACCAACATTAAACTTTAACTGCTGCCTGTAGAGAATCTAGGGCAAGCTGTCATTTTTTAACCAGCTCATTCCAGTTTTTAAAAGCATGCTTCGATGTATATTTTGGTTTACATTGTGGCTGAAGTTGTTTGTTACTCTGGGTCTCCCTCTGGTGTCCATCCATCTTTCCAGAGCACTTACCTCAGCTGTTTTCACCAGCTCTCTGTTTCTAAACACACATAATGCCACGTCACTCCGCAGAATAATGACACTGCCTGCTTTTCAAAATGTAAACAATCAGAGTGGAGACAAACACGCGTTTCTGTTCGACATCTCTGTTGGGGGGGGGGGGGGGAATCAGCTCGTTTGTCTCACTTCACCTGCACATTATCGTCTAATGATGTTTTATGATGGAGGGCTCATTAGTTTTGTCAGGTCAGAAGTCCGAGAGTCCAGTCAACATGCAGGTTCACTGCTGTGTTTCCAAGTTGGTGTCAACCGAGAGTCGAGTCACAGGACAGTTTATTGCTGCTCTTTTCACGCTTTGTTTGTAATCAGCAATTTGAAGTCAGATTTTATTGTCTGTGTTTTTTTATTGTTTTCATTGCACTTTTATACATTGCTACGTGTAATGTTTTTGTTCTCCTTTGCAGAATCATATTTAATGAAGGCAAAACTCTTAGAGACCGGAATATTTTCAGATTGAAGACCTTGAGCAAATTCAAAGTAAGCTACAATGTTTGTCAAGGTAAGTTACCACAACATACGAGGGACAAAGACGGATGTGCTGAAAGGAATAGTTTGACCTTTTTAGGAAATATGCTTGTGTGTACCTATTGTTTTGGCAATCCATCCCATACTTTTGTAGACATTTCACTCAAAACCACAAATGTTAACCTAGAGATGGCAATAGAGGAAAAGTCGTGGGGGGGTCACCAAAGTCATTATGGATTCATGCTAAGGGAACCATGACTGTCTGTACAAAATGTAATCCGTCCAGTATATTTCAGTTTGGCCGACTGACCAACAGACCGACGTTGCCGTCCCTCGGGTCATTCTGCTGTCATGGCTATAATTTGTGCTTCCAAAGGTTAGCCGGGTGCCGTTTCCGCCTTCCAGTCTTTATGCTAAGCTAGGCTAACTGCATTATTTAAACTTAAAAGCACAAGTATGAGCGTGCCATCAATGTCCTTATTTGTTCACATTTTACAGGCATCAGAGAAAAAAGGCTGCACTCTGAATGAATAAAGACGTCAATGAGTCACTTGGCTGTATATCTGCCAACCGTCCATTCTGCGTGCACAAGATAAGACTTATATAACTTTTCACATCAGGCAAGTCATTCATTACACATAAAATCACCATAATCAGGAGAGGACAACATGAACTGCATGCTGCACTGACACTAAAGGCTAGAAACACTATATACACAACATTATAACTGATGCAGTTTGTTTGTTTTCAGCAGTTATTGGTTTTTAAAATCCTCTCAGCACCTAAAGCCAGATGGTGCAGCTTATGTCCATGGTGACCCTGGTAATCGCACAGTCTCATCAGCGCTGAAACAGTTTCATAACAAAATACTTCAAATCTGAGACTACCATTCTCCAGATGTAATTATTTAGCAGCAGCTTCAATAAGTTACAGCTAAACAATTACCAACTTTAAACAGTAGAGTGTATATGTAGCGCCTTCGCATGCCTATAATGCTGGAGAGGGTGACATAACCCCCTCTCCTGAACTATAAGAACAGTCTCATGCCAATCTAAAAGCAGGAACAGGATGACGAGAGATTACAGCAGCAGAGCACGACTTCAGCTGCAGCATCTTTGCAAAGCACAGATGAAAGTGTCCTGGTATATGGGGGTTTTAGACCTCAAAAGCAATTTTGTGAACACTGTTTTAGCCATTTTGTTTGGGCAGCTTTACGAGATTTTTGGGATTAACTTTTAAAAAAAAAAAAAAAAAAAAAAAAAAGTGTGCTATTCCTGTTGGAAAAAAAACAGAATTCCCTGCTATTCTTGAAAGTTTCATGTTTCAGAGAAAAAGGCTGTTCTCCGAGTGAATACAATTAATGTCACTGCGTCACTGGGTTATATATCCGTCAACCGTGCATTCTGGTGACACAAGATAAGGCAATGTCCTGTCTGGGTGCCTGAGTGTGTTGGCGCATGTAAGGCCAACAGATGTGCTAGCGTAGCGCTTTCTGTCAACCAGAATTCAATAAAGCGAAAACACTGACTCAACCTCCAGACAAAATGCATAATGAGTGGTTTCAGTTTTTGAATTAGTTGATCCTTAATCCTCCTGCATGGCACTTGTAGTCAACAATATGATTAAAATCCACTTAGAGTACAGATGATATCGTAGTGATACATCATTATACGTATAATAATCTGCCTTCCAGCACCTCTTAAATTTACTAACTCAGCGTTTAGCTAGGAGCTACATAACACTTTGCACATTACATTAGCAGTATCATGTCTGTTTTCAGAGTTGTTTTCCAACTTTCTTGGTTATTAAAGTGGACTAAATTGCAGTGAAAAAGTTGTCGCTGTGTTTTTGACTCAACAGCTGTAATGCAGTCAGTAGTAGAAGAGTTACCGGCGTTACAATAAGATAAATATGTCAATGCATAACAGTTTAATGTTGTAGCCATCCGTCATATTTCATCAGCTGATCATCAGCTTTTTATTGCTGTTTATTCTACCTCACACTGATAAATAAGAGACAAACACTTGATATGTACTGGATCAAATAACAGCTTTTTAACCACATCGAGGGTCTCCTACGGTATGTTGTACACATGTTAAAGCCCTTGGAGAAACATCTATGGGTTACATAATAAGCTTGACTTGACTTGTTCTCAGCCAATGCACATGTTCTTGGTTTCAAGACAGACCAGCTGAGGCCACTGAGCATGACAAACAGACAACAGGAAATGAGAGGAAAGCAAATATTTTCTTGCGAGCATACAGTGAAGTATACACCTGCACAGTTAAAGCACACCTGCGGGGAGTTTTTCCCTTCAGTATGCGGACACATGAGACCATGAACTAACCTGCATTTCTAGTATTAGCTCACAAGACTTCAAAGGTTATAACCTGGAACATCAGAAGCATCTTTTGAGAAGAATCTTTTCCTGCTACAGGAACAGACTGAAAATAAAATCAATTCATCAACACTGTACTCTAATTAAGGACTTTCCCAAAGCAACATCTGTACAGTTTCCCCCTTCCTTTAAATATAAATCTTTCCTCATGTTATTTTTCCATCTACTACTCACTCTTTCCAACCCTCTTCTCCATCTTTAAATCCAAAACAACCCACTTACTTCAACTCCATGGCTGCTCCCCTCTCCTCCTCTCTTCTCTGGGGTGAAAACAAAC